CGAAAATAATGGCGTAAATGATTTATTCCATAAAAAAATTAATGTTAATTGGATATAATTAAGAGCAATTTTAGGAAATTATGTTAATTTACTATTTTTAGGCTATAATTAATAAATTTGGCGGGAAATAGTTTATAAAATTGAATTAAGTTAATCCTTATTATATATTAATAGATTACTCAATAACTTACAGGTCAATATTAAAGTGGACGTAAACGAAATAGTAGATTATTTATATATTACTCAACTACTTATTTTTTTTAGTTGAATAGTTTATAAAAAATAGATTATTTTAAGTAATGAAACGATATGTATTTATACTTATTAGTCACATAGATTTTTAAATATATTATAAATTTTTACCAAAATTACTATTTTATAGAATCACATTATAGTCAAATCGAATTTCTGAATAAAATTTTGAAAAGATACTTAATTTGAAACGAATATGATGTGATTTATTATAAGTTATATGCACCACACGGGCCGTGTACTAAATTTAAATAAAATTTTTTATGTAATTTTGTACAATTTAAACTTTATATAACATTTTCAATAAATTAGAATAGGTAATTGTATTATATGTTGATTCTATATTTTTAATTTATAAATATTACTTAATAAGAATTTTTTATTTATAAATATTAGTGAATATCTCCTACCCGTATACGGCAGTTGTATTGGAAAATGTGAGCATAATAAACATAAAATACCCGTATCATTCATTGATAGCAAATTAGCAATGAACTAGTGGTTCATGGTCAAACAAAATATAACCACAGACAAACAAAATATCACATGAAGCGCAAACAATATAAACAAACCTTACAGTATGTAACAACCTCATACAAACAAACTAGTATTAATTTTGTGCACATGCATAAGTTACCAAAAATAAATAAATATTATATATGAAAACTTTAATTAAAATGATATCCATATATATAATAAGAATTACTATTTACAAAAAAAAATAGTAAGAGAAAAATACTGAGAATATTAATTACCTTTCATTTTTGGAATATTTTTTTTATTTTTTTAATAAAAAATCAAGCAGCATTTAATGCTACCATAAATCATGGATGCGGGCCGCACGCTGGACTGCATGGCGGCCTGCGCACTGGCCTGCGCACTGGGCTGCACACTGGGCTGCGCTGCGGGGCTGAAACTCGGGGACACACCCCGAGGATAAACCTAGGTAATAATTATTCTAGCGACTCTCATTTGGAAAAAGAAGTTCATATATATATTAAAAAAAAAAAAGAAATATATAAATGTGAATAAAACGGGCCTGTTAGCATTTTATGCATGTTAAATAACATTAAATTGATGTGGCCTCGAGGAACAGTGGTTGGAAGTCTACATTATAAATAGCTTCCAGGACCAATGTGGAAGGGGTTCCGGTGTCAGCAGAAAAATTTAATACTCGGAACAGTAAAATATAACAAAGATTCTCGCATTTAAAGCCAAAGATAATCTCACCAGTGGTCTCGAGTTCGAGCCCTGAGAATGCAGCAGTGTTAAAACTCTCGAGGGAGAGCTTTGCCGTCCTTGTGGTCCTACCCGGCTCGATTCCGGATTAGTCGGTTCCCCTGTGGATCTGGAAACCGGAAGGTCCCTGTACCAAAAAAACATATGGCCAGATAACCCGACCACTATAATATTAATTTCTACATAATCGTCCCGAAAAACAAAAAGGAAAACAAAATCAGTTACAGTCTTAATCACCACAAAATCCATAACAAATTTCTTAATTTAGGCTTATCACATCTATTGATCAACATGTATAACACTCTAAATGTACAGTCAATAGTACATAGTACAAACTCACAAATATTGTACAATTTATTCCCGTTGGAAAATAAAAAAAAAATACAAAATTATTCATGGATCATCCATTCCTAATAAATGCATGCATGGATCAATTAAGCCGCCTGTGCCGCCGGAGGTGAAGCACATAGTGGCGGGTTCGTTTTTCCTATAACAGTGGGTTTCACATTCGAGCATATGGTTGTAATGTTGCCAATGGTCCCGACGAATCCAAGATCAATGTCACCAATCTCCACATTCTGGCACGGTTTGCCCGAGCTGCATGCAAAAGTCACGACCTCCGCTGTGCTGGACGTTCCGCGTACGTTCTTTACGCTGACGTCACTGATTTGGATTTTGGATGGGTTTGATTTGTCGCATAGATTCCATGGACAATATTCTTGGTCGATGATTATGGGGTTGCTCACATTTTCCATGATCAAGTCCTCGAAATGCAGATTGCTGACCTTGAGCGTGGCCGGGGCGGATGGCCACGTTTTTACCCTAACGCCGTTTTGCGTCTGTTTGAAAGTGCAGTTCTTGATGTAGATTCCAGTGACATCCTTCTCTTGAGCACCTTTTCCGAGGCTTCCGATGCCGGTCCGCATGTGACGTTCTGTATGTGGTACTCGGAGCTCTCGTCCCCTATGGAGATGCAGTCGTCACCTGTCTCGATGACGGAGTCGAGAACACTGATTAAGGAGGACCGCGCCAGGTGGAGCCCATCGGTGTTGATGCTCTCCCCGGGGGCTGATACGTGGAACCTCTGGAAGGTCACATTATGGCTCGAGATGCAGTTCACATGGAAGTTCTTGCTGTCTTTAGTGGTCACATCATGGATTATCGAGTTGTTGATGAAATTCAAGCTCAGGTTCTGCACCAACACAGTCATGATCATGAAAATTTATTCATTTAAGATATATAAAAGCATATGTTGTTCTAGTTCTAATTTATTTAAAATCTTACGATGGGAAGCTTGGCGCAATTTTTATTTTTGTTGCAATCGTTTTGCTTCCACGCTTCGTGGCCCTGGCCGTCGAGAACGCCACCACCGGATAGGGTGAAGTAGTTAACGTAATTGATGGTGATCCATTCACCTTGTTTGTTCGGCAGCTTTTGGGGGTCGGCATAGGCTTGCACGGTGCCCTGGATTTCGAGCTCCAGAGGGGCTTTGTTTTCCGTCAATCTGACTTGGCTTAGAATCCATGTCCCCTTTGGAATAACGATCTTGCTAGCATTTTCCGACGCCGAAGCTTCCTTCCAAGCATCAAGGAGAGCCTACAACAAGATGAAATCAATAATACAAAATATATTTAATTTGATTACAAGAAATATTGACGCGACAAAATACAAAAATATTGTTGATCTTATTTTAGGAAAATGCTAAGGTCCGTTACGGGATGGTACCGTCTTGGATACACACATATAAATCATGTTTTGTGGATAATCTATGGTAACGAACACTGACGGAACCATTTCGTCAATGGGACTGTAGTAGTTTCCCTTATTTTATTACCTTGCTAATATCGGCACCTTGTGTAGCACCGTACTTTGTGATGTCATAAACCAAAGGCTCTTGTGCTTTTCCATTCAGTGCTATAAATGGCAAAACCAATAAGAGTGCTGAAACAATGCTTTTCATTTCCATGTTAATTTTTTTTTCCTTTTATGTTTATTTTCTTATTGTAATTGAAAGTCCCATACATTAGTGATGAACTTATAGAACGTGGAGGACATTAAGAGTGTTTTTCTCTACCACTCGTTCATCCAAGAACTACTCTTCAAGGTTAGGATGTCCACTAAATTTATGTGG